CCCAATGGTTTTTGGAGATTTCGGCGTGCTGCGCGCGAATAAAAAACGAAGTGTCCCGCAGGTGTTATTTGACACAAGGGATGATGGGCCCTGGCAGGTGCGGCAACCGATGTCGCAGAAGGTTCGAAAAGTTGCTCGCTAAAGCCCGTGTTGACAGAAATGTTTAAAAAAGTGGAACACTGACCCATACACGCCAGCCCAATAAGTATCACTAGTCAATCTGTTGGTTGTTCTACACTAAACATATAGGCGAGGACCAGAGACCCAAAGACCTTACGAATCCGCAAGAGCGCGCGGGATGAGATTTTGACATTTTTTTGTTGAAACAAACCATTGGTTGTTTTATTGTTTTTATGTTTGTTAAAATCGCTGCGAACACTAAGGTTTTGGAAGGTTTTCGTCTTGCGCGCGCGAATGTCCACTTTACCTTATGTTTTGCAAGGGATTCTTGAAATTTGATTATATTAGAACAAGAAATGTCATTTTCTATTGTTTTTTGCAAGGGAAAGCGGGTTACAACAAAACAACCGGATCCTGTACACACCCTCTTTTCTGAGGCTTCCTCACGAAAATGATGAAAATGTAGCTGCGGCCTAGGCGGCGCAGGGGGGCCGTGCACCAGGGGTCCCAACAATAATTATTATTTAGAATTAGTAATGTTCAACAACAACAACACCAACAACAACAACAACAACAACAACGCCGGGAATGAATAGAAAAAGGAGGAGACCCTCAGGACTCCAGAACTGCATCGAAGTGGTGACTTACGTGTGCGCGCTAGAGAAGCGAGGGACTCTATAGAAACACTACAGGGACCCTATAGAAACCCTGCAGGCATCCTATAGAAACCCTACAAGCATCCTATAGGAACCCAACAGGGATCCTACAGAAATCCTGCAGGCACCCTATAGAAACCTTCCAGGCACCGTATAGAAACCCTGCAGGCATCCTATAGAAACCCTACAGGCATCCAGTACAAACCCTACAGGCATCCTATAGAAACCTTACAGGAATCCTATAGAAACCCTGCACGCATCCTATAGAAACCCGACAGGCATCCGGTTGAAACCCGACAGGCTTCCGATAGAAACCCTACAGGCATCCTAAAGAAACCCAACAATGCATCCGATAAAAACCCTAGAGGCATCCTATAGAAACCCTACAGGGACCTGATTAAAAAAACCTCACACGGATTGTATAGAAACCTTACAGGGACCCGATAGAAGCCGCACAAAGACCCGGTAGAAACCCTACAGGGGTTCTATAGAAAAACCTGTAGGGATCCGATAGAAACCGTACACGTACCCGAGAAAAACCTCACAGGGATCCTATAACACAAACCCTACAAGGATTCTGTAGAAACCCTACACGGATCCGATAGAAACCCGACAGGGATTCTGTAGAAACCCTACACGGATCCAAAAGAACAAACTACAGGGATCCTACAAAAACCCTATACGGATCCTACAGAAACGCGATAAGGTTCTTACAGACACCCTACAAGGATCCTACAAAACCCTATAAGGATCCTACAGAAACCCTATACAGATCCCACAGAAACCTGATCAGGAACCGACAGAAACCCGATAAGGATCCTGCAGGAACCGTATAAGGATCCTACAGAAACCCTACAAGGAACCTACAGAAACCCTACAACAGATCCTGAAGGAAACATGTAAGGATCCCCCTTCTCAATCCTACCAGCTGTCATCTGATCCCTATCGGGATCCTACCAGCTGTAGTCAGATCGTTATGGGAATCCTACCAATTGCAATAAGATCACTACAGAGATCCTACCAGCCGTCATAAGATCCGAGTCGGGTTCCTACCAGCTGCAATGGGATGCCTACGGGGATGCGACCAGCTGTAATAGGATCCCTATAGAGATTCTACCAGCTGTAATAGGATCCCTGTAGAGACCCGACCAGCTGCAATCGGATCCATACAGGGACCCTACCAGCTGTCATCGGATCCCTTTTCTGGATCCTACCAGCTGTAACGGGATCCCTATAGTGATCCTGCCAGCTGTCATAAGATCCCTATAGGGATCCCACCACGTGCGATAGGATCCCGAAAAAAAGGTTCCTACCAGCTGCAATGGGATCCATATGAGGATCCTTCCAACTGCAATCGGATCCCTACAGGAATCCGACCAGATGCACTAGGATCCTTATAGGGATCCGACCAGCTGTAACAGGATTCCTGTAGGGATCCTCCCAGCTGTAATAGGAGTCCTATAAGTATCCTGCCAGCTGCAAAAATCTCCATAGAAGGATCCTACCAGCTGCAAGAGGATCCTTACAGGGATCCTACCAGCTGTAATAGGAGCCCTACAGGGATCCGACCAGCTGCAATAAGATCCGTATAGGGACCCTTCCAGCTGCAATCGGATCCCTACAGACATCCTACTAGCTGCAACAGGATCCCTATAAGGATCCGACCAGCTGCACAAGGATCCCTATAGGGATCCTACCAGCTGCAGTCGGAAGGCTATGGGGATCCTAACAGTTTTAATGAGACCCCATTTAAAGATCCGACCAGCTGTGATAGGATCACTATAGGGGTCCTACCAGCTGTTGACCGTGTCTTGTAAGAGACCCGGGAAGAGGCCTAGTAGGACACCATAATCATCATCATCACCACCATTACCACCACTTCCACCACCACCACCACCATCATCAGCATCATCACCAGCAGCACCAGCAGCATCATCATCAGCATCATCAGCATCATAATCATGATCCGCAGAATCGATATTATGATCATCATCATCACCATCACCACCATCACCATCACCATACTCACAACCACCATCATCATCATCATGATCATCCGCACCATGACCATCACCATCGTCATCGCCACCATCACCATCATCCCCATCATCAGCAACAGCACCATCATCCTCACCATCATCGTCATCACATCCACCACCACCACCACCAGCAGCATCAGCATCATCAGCATGATCATCAGCCTCATCAGCATCATAATCAGCATCACCACCACCACCATCATCATCATCATGATCATCATCAGCATCATCATAATCATCATCCTTTCCTCAGTCGACGGCGGACCGACACGATGGGGTGACCGTGTCTTGTAGGAGACCTGGGAGGAGGCCGAGTTGGATCCCTACAGGGCGTCCCTTTGGGTGTCTGGCGGCCGTTTGGGTGTCTGGGGGCGTGGGAGTGCGGGAACGTAGGGGTGTGGGGGGGGCGCCGAGGCCCCAGTGTAGGAATCCATCATTCCTCAGTGTATTGCGAAGAGGTTTCGGGAGGGAGCCGTCCGCGTTGTTGTTGTCGTTGTTGCTGCTGCTGTTGTTGTTGTTTGGGGGGGAACGCTGGGGACCGGCGCCCGCTCCTACTAAACAAAAATCAACAATCATTATAAGACTGTTCGCTCTTACTTGCCCGCGTGCCATTCAAAACAAGCTCCCCACACCCTCGATACCCGCCCTTTTTGCCTTCGATCACACCCTTTTTGGGGGGATTATTTCTCTTTGCGGGGGGCGGCTGGCTTAGACACGCGGGCAAACCTGAACGGGCGGACAATCCTTCATGGGCGTACATGTGCCCGCCTTTGGAATTGGTGTGGGCCCTGCAAGAAGAGGAGGGGGAGAACGAGGGAGAGTTGGAGGAAGGGAGTGGGAGGGACGAAGGAAGAGGGAGAACGCCAGGAGAGATGGTGCGAAGAGGGGGGCGGCTGATTAGAGGCAAAGAGAGAGAGAGAGAGGGAGAGAAAGAGAGATAAGAGAGGTAGAAAGAGAGAGAGAGAGATAGAGAGAGGGGAGAGAGATTGAAAGAAAGAGGGAGGTAGGAGGCAGGAGAGGGGAGGGAGAAGGGAGGAGGGAGAGGAGGGAGAGGGGATAGGGCAGAGAGGCATAAGGATGATGGAAGAGAGGAGGGAGAGAGAAGGGAGGAGAGGAGGGAGGAGGGAGGAGGGAGAGGGAGGAGGAGCAGGAAGGTAAGAGCGTAAACGTTCGAGGAAGTCCTGGGCGAAAGCGCCGTTCCTGAAGAAAGTCTCGGGCGGGAGCCCACGACGGGCGGGCGATCCCCTTACAAGCGGGTCGGGCGGGTGGGACATTCAAGCGGGATGCCTGAGTGTGGCGAGAGCGCGACGACTAGTAAATTGTAACGGCGTCCTTGGCGAAGCGTGTTTCTTGAGCTTCGAAAGCGCGATTTCTGAATCAATTGCATGGAAATCATAGGCGAGACCGCAATTCCTGAATAAAATGTGAAGGGTTCTCTGGCGGGAGCGGGGGTCTTGATTAAATTGCGAGGAAGTCTTGATTCAATTGCGAGGAAGTCTCAAGCGGGAGCGCCGTTCCTGAGTAAAGTGTGAGGAAGTCTCAGATGGGAGTGGGTGTCCTGACAAAATTGCGAAGAAGTCACAAGCGGGAGCACCGATCCTGAGCAAATTGCGAGGAAGTCTCAAGAGCGGGGGTCCTGAGTAAATTTGGAGGGAGTCTCAGGCGGGAGCCGTTGTTGTCGTAATCCGGAGGGCCAGGGGCACAGTTTGAGCACCAAGACTTTCCCTGTGAAAGAACCGGGAGCGAGCATCGAGGGGCACACTTTGATTTAGAAACAGGAGTATGCACCGGTGAGGGGGGATCAGCAATAATTATTCTTCAGAAGTGAGAATTCAGCAGCAACAACAACAGCAACGACGACAACAACAACAAACGACAACAACAACAAACGACAACGACAACAAACGACAACGACAACAAACGACAACGACAACAACAACAACAACAGCAGCAGCAACAACAACAACAACAACACCACCACCACCACCACCACCACCACCACCAACAACAACAACAACAACAACAACAATAACATCATCAACAACAACATCATCAACAGCAGCAACGACAAAACTTCGGAGACCTGGCGACATCGGTTCTCTCGCGCCGGGAGCCGGCGGGGCCGCTCGGAGAGCGCGCCGGGGCGCGCCGCGCGCGCGCGGCTGGCCGCCGCGGACCACTGCGCGGGCACGCCGCCCGCCGGCGACCTCGCCGCGGGCCGCTCCGCTGTCGCGGCGCTGCCCGGCGTGCAGGGGGCCACGGGCAGCCGGCGCGCGTCGCCTGGCGGCCGCAGGGGCGGGCGATACTTAGATCCATATCCAAAGCGTCTTGGACTTTTTGGGAAGGGGTGTCGCAAGGCCGAGGCGCGCTGGAGACGGATCAAAGTCTCACCTTGTGGGGCCAGATCTTTCTCCACATCCAGTGCGCCTCCGGCTTCTGGGGAAGAGAGCCCAACACTCCAAGACGCACTGGATGTAGATAGAACTATTGCCCGCAGCAGGGGCCACCAGCCCAAACGTGCTCGCCGCGAGGAGAGAGCTCAACCAACCAAACTTCCGTGGCACTCTCTTTTTTCACGACACGAGCAGCTCTAGGGCGAAGCGGCGACGAGGGAGGGGTGAGTGGACAGGAAGTGGACGTTCGAAAAATCCACCCACTCACACACACACACACTCAGATACGACGGTTTCGGGGGGTGGGTTCTGCAGCTGGGGGCCCTCGCCGGGCTCCAGGACCGTCAGAGAGCGACTCGGGACGAAAAGGCATCCCTGGGGAGAGGGTCGGGACTTCCCGGGGGGGCCCGCCTGGGAGAAAAGCAAGATGTCCCTCCAGCTCGAGAGGTGCCGCAGGGATATTGGATCTATACGGAGCTGGTCGTGATTCCCCACGGATGTGCAATCTTTTCGCGGCGTGGGATCTCACGGGCGCGGCCACGAGGGCCCATAAGGGTCGTCAATGGTCACAGGGGTCCCCAGGGGTCAATGCAAGGCCCGATGGAGACGCAGGGCTCGCCAAAGGGTCCGGCCCCACGAGGTCACAAGGGTCCCAAGGCTCACCAGGGTCTGAATAGCCAGTGGGTCGCAACGATCACCAGGACCCCAAGAGTCGCAAGAATCGCTGGGGCAACAAGTGTCACCAGGATCGCACCGACCACAAGGGGCCCAAAGCTCACGAGGGCCACCGGGGTCACGGAGGCACAAGGGCCGCAAAATGTCAATGCGCAGGAGCAGACAGCCGAGGGCATTCGGGCCGTGGCCAGGGCACGTAGACCCTCGACCTTGAGCTTCTCACCCTCCTCTTCCTCCTCCTCCTCCACCACCTCCTCCTCATCATCATCAGCAGCATCATCAGCACAATCACCCGTCATAGCACCACCATTCGCAGAATCATCACCGTTACCGTGAAGAATACTGATTCGTCTACCTAGCATTGTGATGTTCGGCCGATCCCCCTCCTTGTTTTCCAGCCGATCCCCCTCCTGTCTTCCTCCTCCTCATCATCATCCTCCTCATCACCATCATCCGCATCATCACTGTCATCATCACCCTCATAACCACATTATCATCATCAACATCATCATCAGCAGCATCATCATCAGCATCATCATCAGCATCAACATCAGCAGCATCATCAGCAGCAGCATCAGCATCAGCATCAGCATCAGCATCAGCATCAGCCCCATCGTCATCAGCAGCATCATCATCCTCATCAGCATCGTAATCATCAGCATCAGCAGCAGTATGATCAGCATCGTCCTTATCATCATTGTCATCATCATTACCACCACCATGGTCATCATCATCATCAGCAGCATCAGCAGCATGCGAATCATCAGCATACTAAGCATCATCATCATCATCATCATCATCATCATCATCATCATCATCATCAGTATCATCAGCAGCAGCAGCAGCATCAGCATGATCATACTTTACATGATCATCATCGCCATCATCATTAGCATGACCATCATCATTCCTCATAATCCTCATCCTCATTCTCATCATCATCATCATCATCATCATCATCATCATCATCATCATCATCATCATCATCATCATCATCCTAATCATAATCTGCCTCATCATCTTCATCCTGCTCCTCCTCCTCATCCTCCTACTTCTCCTCCTCGTTCTCATGCTGCTGGACCTCCTCCTCATTCTCATCCTCACCCTCTGGCAATTCGTCCTCCTCATCCTCATTCTCCTCTCACCGCTCCTCCCGCAAGGGCGTTCTGCACAAGCCAAGGCATTCAACGCCGCCTTGGACAGGCAGAGCCGCAGATCCCATTTCACTGGCCCCACTTGTCATGCGCGCAGCTCGCTTTTTACCTAACAGCTTTTGCTGATAGGTTTCTAGTGGTGTCAAAAGAGAGCAGCAGATGACTCCACAGGGGGGTCGGGGCGGGACCCGGGGAGCTGTGTCCGAACTCGTGTCCGAATGCGTTTTTCGCAAACTGTCACACACTTCGTGCTCTTCGACCTCCCAGAACTCCACTCCCGGGCCACATTCTGAATGCCCGGAGCCAACTGTAGGCTACTTCGTGCTCTTCGACTTCCCAGAACTCCATTCCCTGGCCACATTTTGAATGCCCCGAGCCAACTGTAGGCCACTTCGTGCTCTTCGACTTCCCAGAACTCCATTCCCGGCGTACATTTTGGATGCCCGGAGCCAACTGTAGGCCACTTCGTGGTCTTCGAGTTCCCAGAACTCCATTCCCGGGTACATTTTGAATGCCCGGAGCCAACTGTAGGCCACTTCGTGGTCTTCGAGTTCCCAGAACTCCATTCCCGGGCCACATTTTGAATGCCCGGAGCCAACTGTAGGTCACTTCGTGTCTTCGAGTTCCCAGAACTCCATTCCCGGGCCACATTTTGATGCTGAGGCAGGCTGAGGCTGAGGCTGAGGCAGGCTGAGGCTGAGGCAGGCTGAGGCTGAGGCCGAGGCTGAAGGCAGACTGAGGTGAGGCTGAGGCAGGCTGAGGCTGAGGCTGATGAGGCTGAGGCAGGCTGAGGCTGATGCAGGCGCTGAGGCCGCAGGCTGAGGCTGAGGCTGAGGCAGGCTGAGGCTGAGGCTGAGGCTGAGGCTGAGGCTGAGCTGAGGCAGGCTGAGGCTGAGGCTGAGGCTGATGCAGGCTGAGGCTGCGGCAGGCTGAGGCTGAGGCCGAGGCTGAAGGCAGACTGAGGCTGAGGCTTGAGGCTGATGCAGGACTGAGGCAGCCTGAGGCTGAGGCAGGCTGAAGGCTGAGGCTGAGGCTGAAAGCAGGTGAGGTGAGGCTGAGGCAGGCTGATGCTGAGGGCAGGCTGAGGCTGGGAAAGGCAGCCTGAGGCTGAGGCGAGGCTGTGAAGGCACAGACTGAGGTGAGGCTGAAGCCAGGCTGAGGGCTGAGGCTGAGGCAGGCTGGAAGTCAGGCTGAGGTGAGGCTGTGAACTATTGCCCGCAGCAGGGGCCACCAGCCCAAACGTGCTCGCCGCGAGGAGAGAGCTCAACCAACCAAACTTCCGTGGCACTCTCTTTTTTCACGACACGAGCAGCTCTAGGGCGAAGCGGCGACGAGGGAGGGGTGAGTGGACAGGAAGTGGACGTTCGAAAAATCCACCCACTCACACACACACACACACACACACACACTCAGATACGACGGTTTCGGGGGGTGGGTTCTGCAGCTGGGGGCCCTCGCCGGGCTCCAGGACCGTCAGAGAGCGACTCGGGACGAAAAGGCATCCCTGGGGAGAGGGTCGGGACTTCCCGGGGGGGCCCGCCTGGGAGAAAAGCAAGATGTCCCTCCAGCTCGAGAGGTGCCGCAGGGATATTGGATCTATACGGAGCTGGTCGTGATTCCCCACGGATGTGCAATCTTTTCGCGGCGTGGGATCTCACGGGCGCGGCCACGAGGGCCCATAAGGGTCGTCAATGGTCACAGGGGTCCCCAGGGGTCAATGCAAGGCCCGATGGAGATGCAGGGCTCGCCAAAGGGTCCGGCCCCACGAGGTCACAAGGGTTCCAAGGCTCACCAGGGTCTGAATAGCCAGTGGGTCGCAACGATCACCAGGACCCCAAGAGTCGCAAGAATCGCTGGGGCAACAAGTGTCACCAGGATCGCACCGACCACAAGGGGCCCAAAGCTCACGAGGGCCACCGGGGTCACGGAGGCACAAGGGCCGCAAAATGTCAATGCGCAGGAGCAGACAGCCGAGGGCATTCGGGCCGTGGCCAGGGCACGTAGACCCTCGACCTTGAGCTTCTCACCCTCCTCTTCCTCCTCCTCCTCCTCCACCACCTCCTCCTCATCATCATCAGCAGCATCATCAGCACAATCACCCGTCATAGCACCACCATTCGCAGAATCATCACCGTTACCGTGAAGAATACTGATTCGTCTACCTAGCATTGTGATGTTCGGCCGATCCCCCTCCTTGTTTTCCAGCCGATCCCCCTCCTGGCTTCCTCCTCCTCATCATCATTCCTCCTCATCACCATCATCCGCATCATCACGGTCATCATCACCCTCATAACCACATTATCATCATCAACATCATCATCAGCAGCATCATCATCAGCATCATCATCAGCATCAACATCAGCAGCATCATCAGCAGCAGCATCAGCATCAGCATCAGCATCAGCATCAGCATCAGCCCCATCGTCATCAGCAGCATCATCATCCTCATCAGCATCGTAATCATCAGCATCAGCAGCAGTATGATCAGCATCGTCCTTATCATCATTGTCATCATCATTACCACCACCATGGTCATCATCATCATCAGCAGCATCAGCAGCATGCGAATCATCAGCATACTAAGCATCATCATCATCATCATCATCATCATCATCATCATCATCATCATCAGTATCATCAGCAGCAGCAGCAGCATCAGCATGATCATACTTTACATGATCATCATCGCCATCATCATTAGCATGACCATCATCATTCCTCATAATCCTCATCCTCATTCTCATCATCATCATCATCATCATCATCATCATCATCATCATCATCATCATCATCATCATCATCATCATCCTAATCATAATCTGCATCATCATCTTCATCCTGCTCTCCTCCTCATCCTCCTACTTCCTCCTCCTCGTTCTCATGCTGCTGGACCTCCTCCTCATTCTCATCCTCACCCTCTGGCAATTCGTCCTCCTCATCCTCATTCTCCTCTCACCGCTCCTCCCGCAAGGGCGTTCTGCACAAGCCAAGGCATTCAACGCCGCCTTGGACAGGCAGAGCCGCAGATCCCATTTCACTGGCCCCACTTGTCATGCGC